GCAAAAGTAAAGAGTTCATAAGTAAACAAAGCTCATTCTTCGTTGATTGAGAAAGTGTTGCTTTGGGGAAATTTTGGGGCTCATTACGCGGTCTAGAGGCAGTACGCTGTTGGGCGGCTGGCTCTATATGTCCACATGCCGGATCAACCTGATCGCTAATGAGCTTTCCACGTTGTCCTTGATCTCTTTGCATTTTCTCGAAGGGCTCAATGGGCTGTTGGGACGCTATTTGCCTCCATGCCTGAGCACGGTTGATTGATCAGGTTTTCCTCCACGGATTTTTCCCATTCGCCAGAAAGGTTTTATACTCCTTTCTGAGGTCCCATATGCCAGGGTACACTCAGTTGCCCTTCATATAAGTCTCGGGCTCTTCCCACTTGCCTGGAGGGCCTTGTGCTGTTGCTTGGACTCAAGGTAAGGACAAGGTAAGGTAAGGACTCAAGGACAAGGTAAGGTAAGGCACGGAGACACTCAATGCTTAGGGGTCCTCTACTGTGATTGAGAGCTCTCTCCCTTTGGTTTCATTTGCGGAGAACTCTTTACTTCCATCGAGGCTCGTGTTGCTAACCTGCCCGTGCACTCTTGGTCACACAGGAGTATTAATTCATGGTCTTGGATAATTCCGCTTTGCTCGGGGGGTCTTGGGCTATGGTCGGGGCCTTGTCTATCAGCGTGCCGGGGCACTACCGATCGTTCAGGGGCCCACCACGTTGGTCTCGCGTTCTTTTTCCTTGCTCTGGGGGCCCTTTACTTGTTGATGAGAGCCACTTATGTGTACTGGTGGAGTAACAAGGAGAAGACTCGGATAGCCGCAGGCACGAGGACGGACGCGCCGGCGGGACGGACTGTGTGGAGTGTGTGACGAGTGTCAAACACAGAAGTGATTTTGGACGTACTGAGTGTTCTGGTGAGCCGGAGGCGAGACGCCGGGAAGGCAGAACTTACATATGCATGCGTAGCAGCACGCCCACCTGCTTATATATATATATATATATATATATATATATATATATATTCCATACGACTTGTCTTATAATGTTATGACCGAAATTGATATTTTTGGGAGGGAGACCCGAACTCCAAGGGGCGCCACAATGTCCCGTGCCCCCTCCCCCCCCTCGACGAAATCCTAGATCCGCCGCTGGGGAGCCCTTTGCCAGCCCCGGGCCCCACCCCCTGTCAAGGCTCCGGTTGTGCTCCTGCCTAAGGGTATTTTTACGCAATTGCAAAGTGCGTTGGGGCCGAACCGTGAAACAGTTCCATCAAATTTCGCCAATAAACGGATTTCTCCCCGGATTTAGCCCACTTTTCCCTCACAGCTGCGCACAGGGCTGGATTCCAAATTGGAGGATGGGTGGGACGCCGGGGACCTCTAACTAAATAATAAACTACACCCCAGGTATGCCCATTTTTGTAAAATATTGGGGCTGAAACAAAGGACCGACAACTGACTCCCCGTTTTATTCTCACCGGATTTAGCCCACTACATTCCGATTTGATGCAATGTATGTTTTTCATCTTCGTATAATTTATAAGTCCTTAATTTTGGGCAGTGTAAAAGTCATGCAGGGCTGGATCCAGGGGGCAGGCACTGGAAGCATGCGTCTCTTCTGATCGGCACGTGAAGGTGCCCCTTTAGGCACCACCTTAGGGCGCCGATGGCACTCTTCTCTGGCGGTCATGGGAGGCGGTACGCATTTAGTTGTAGGGGACGGGGCTAGCCATGAAGGACTTAGGCCATCCCCATATTCCAGAGCTTTTCACTTTAAGCTCACAAACCATTGCGTGTCTCATGGCGCTAGGTATGGGAAGTTAATGGCATCGTTTATCCGCTCAGCTGTTACGATTTGCGTCTTATGGTGAGAGCAGCCATGACTTTCTGTCATGAGAGTGGTGCGAGATGCCACTATGCAGAAAGACCCAAAAAAAGATAGCCTTTGTGTGACGATCATCTATAACCTACTTTTTTTTGTTGTTTTCCGGCCAAAAACACTGGGGGCCAAGCCAACAAGCCGACATTGGGGACCCTACTAAACATGGGGGGGGGGGGGGTTAGGGCCCTCAGAAAAGAGCACAAATCGACGCCCGTGCTACACCCTTGTAGCCGCCCACGCATGCTCGCAGCAGAGTACCAGTACCAGTGGCGTCATGTAGCTTGCCCAGAGTGTGAGCAAATTACTTGGTATCTTTATCCCACATACAGACGGCATAAGTGGCCATACGTCAGAAAACCGAGATGCGAAAGAAACAGCGCGCCATAGCCTTGAGCATGCCCTATACGCGTATATATCTCGCATATAGGGCGCACATGAGGCCTAATGTTTTCAAACAGAATAGGAGGCGACACAATTTGTGCTAATACATACTAAGCTTAACGTAATACCAGCTTGATGTCGATGCAATTCAAATTTGAGGTGTTTCCTTTGATCAATAATTGTCAAATTTTAAACTTACAAAGATAATTTCTCAAATTTAGAATGGTTTATTAATATAGTCAGAGGAAACAAAAATTATAGAATAGCATCCTCATTAGTCTAGAAAGAGGACTAAATTTGGTAATTGGTACAGTTCTGGTGCTCCGGAGACATAAAACAACATGTCGAAAAGCCCGTGGTACCAAGTACTGACGATTGTGGTCGGGCCGTTGAGGACATGTATTGCCGTTACGTAAATTGCACTGTGGGAAGAAGTAAGTTATCATTACTTTTTATTATGCTTTATAGCAGGTACATGCATACCTAGAAGAAGGAGGAGACTGTTCATTATAACCAAATTATTGCATAACTGGCAGTTAGGCTACGGGCACCGGAAATTCCCAACTGGGGTGTCTAGCCCTTTTTTTAGTTATTTCAAGTCCAAGTAAGAAAGGCTCATTCTGCAGAAATTATGTTGCACCAGATATGTGTGGTTTGGCAGCAATATTGGGGCAACGATTTCAGTGTGTGTACGTGGTGACCCATGCATTCAGTTCAGTTACATGGACATCACCAATTTGAGAGCAAATGGGCTCACATTGTTAAGGAGTGATGATGTTGTCAAGGTATTTTTATGTTACAGTATTGTTAAGATATTTTTTGCATAAAAATTTTCTGAAATTTGGTGTAATTTGGCCTGCGCTCAGTCTGTAGCACATGAATGTGTGCAGATTTGGGAACCAATGTCATGTAGCTCTACATAGGGGATGGATTTTTGCAGACAAGTAAAAAGTCAGTTCTCATTATAACAAAGTCAGGAGATGTTCAGCCCACTGTCTACATATGTTGTCATGTTAAACCCTTCCCAGGCTGTAAAGTGCTAGGATTTTAGATTGCATTTACAGTAGGCACATGTTGAATAGTCCTAAATTATGATAAGCTTCCCTTAGTGGTTCTATTTACAGCCCTGTCTGGTGTGAACTGTCTAAAGGGTGTGGTTTTAAAGTGTAGATTGCTGTACTTATGGATGAGTGTGGTAAATGGGAATAGCTTTCAAATAGCTTTGCACACCATGTTTACCCCACATGTGCAGAAAGTATATTCTTGTAGAATGCAAAGGCATTCCTTTCCACATGCCCAGTAACAGACAATCAGACTTATTTCAAGTTTTGTGACAGGCTGTCATAGATGTTGAATCAGACAATCAGACAATAATATTTTTGTCCAAACCCTTGGATGTGTGGATTTGTGCAAACAGAGCCCACACTAAACAGTGCTTGATGTGTGAACCCTGGCCCCTTTCATCTGATTGTGCAATGCTAAAAGCTGGAATTGGTGATAAAACTTTAATGTGCTGCAATGCTGGACACATTTGTCCTGCCCTGTGATGGCAGATGACCTTTAGTGGGGGTGCTGCCACCCCTTTTGGGACATATCTGTCAAGGGCAAATAGGAGCCCTTAAAGCAACTCCCTCATGGTTGGGTGGATTGGAAGCCAGGCCCTCTAATCAATGAGCCATCAGGATGGACAGGAATGGCACTAGGAGATGTTCATTGGGAAACTAGCAAATTGCAGTGGAAAGATAACAAAGTATATGTTGAGCACCACAACTTATAAAAGACCATGATATATGGCTTCTTCTACTTTATTTCTATTTTGAGCATGGTGCCCTTTAAAGCAGGCTTTCAAGTGTGTGTTCATGTCTGTGTCTGCGTGTTATGTGCACTTGTATTCCAAGGAAACATGTACTTATGCACACATGTAAAGCATACAATGTGGGTTTCATTTTTCTAAAAACAAATTGTTCATTGCTTATCTAAATAACATTTCAGGCAATATTGATGTGCAAGCTGTGTCCTCACCTCAGCTGTGTCCTCACCTCAGCTGTGTCCTCACCTTGACTCGGAAATCCCCCAGGATCGATATGGAGATATTTGTCTTCGGATACAACGAAGAACCCTCCAACAAAAGCTGCAAAGAAAAAGCGGAAACCAAAGAAACACTATGCTGAGGTTTTACAAGGTATGACCTCATGCAGCCATCATGGTGGCTCTAGCACTGGCACACGACTTAAAACAGTGGCATGATGCAGCTTAACATCGTGAGTTCATCACTACATGAGCAGAGAAGTGAACACATCGTGAGTTCATCACTACATGAGCAGAGAAGTGAACACATCGTGAGTTCATCACTACATGAGCAGAGAAGTGAACACATCGTGAGTTCATCACTACATGAGCAGAGAAGTGAACATTGGACACATTTAACATTTGGCAGGTACTTGCGTTTTGTCAACTTAAGCAGGCGTTTTACCGTCCGTTACATACAGATGCTGTTGACTAGTCCCTTTGACCAGTCCTGATTGGTAATTATAATAACGGCACAATCGACGACTATACGGGCTCTGTTTCCGCTCGCAGTGGGCGCCAATTCGGCCAGCCTCGTGCAGAGGCGCGTGGCCAAGCTGGACCCGGCGCTGTGGCCGGGCGTGCGCGCCGGCCCGGCCAGCGCCGAGCCGGCCCAGCCGCCGGTGCCGCCCGACGCTAGGCTGACCGAGGCCGACGAGGCGGCCGGCGAGGCGCTCTCGGACGCCCTGTGCGTCTCGCCGCTGGGCTGCTTCGAGCCGGCTGTGGGCGAGGAGGCCGAGGAGGCGGACGAGGACGCGGCGGCTCTGGAGCTCAGCCGCAAACTGCAGCGCAAGTGCGTATGCTCATCGGCCCGGCCCGGCCGCTGTGGGAACGGTTTTGGCCCCGTGTAGAACCCCGATTATAATGTGATATTTGGTGCTCCTCGATACATGGAATTCGGATGACGCGTTTTAGCATCATAAGAAGATAGATTTAACCCGTGTATGGCACAAGCCAGTCCGTAAATTACGTTTCATTAGTTAAGTTTGAGCTGGTTTAAACTTATGGGCCTATGTATCCATCTCTGCTCGGCGCAGTTGTAACGAAATTGGTGATAGGCCTCTTCAGGTTTTCAGTGTGATCCGTGCTATAATTTTTAGAAGTCGAGTCGCCGGCCACAATTTTCCTCCGCGTGCTTCATGTGGTATGAAAACATGTGCCGTAGGTCACCGCCAAATGAGAATGTGGTTTCGGAAACGTATTTTTACCAGTAGTGTGGGCGATCTCCGTGTATTTTGCGTGCAGCAATGTATCGGTAGCTTCGATAGCGTCCATGACAAGGACGACGTTGTCACGGATTTACTTCAGAAGCTTGATAAGTCAAAATAGATTGTCGCAAGCCGTGTGTTCTTAGCAAGGAGCAAGATACCGTGAGGGTAACTCTAGAGTTCATTAGAAAATCTCGAGAAATCTAGAAAATCTAGAAAAAAAATTGGCAAAAAGAAAGATGAGCTGTTATGCATCCGAGAAAAATGGCATTTTTTGTTACCATTGAACAACACGTACGCTCGTTCATTTATAAATATCAACCTTGAAGTTGGCACTTTCCTTTATCTCACCGCTTCCGCTGTATCCCGATCCTGTTTTCCAACTTATCACGCTGGATTTGTCTTGTTTCCATTGTATCGGCCTCCCAGTGGAACACTGTCCGTCCCGCAGGAAGGAACGCGCCGGTCAGCCGCGCCCGGGGGCTCGACAGAAGGTGGCTGCCGCCAAGCTGTTGGAGATGCAGAAGGCCGGCAAGCAGGCCAGCTTCCTCTCCAGCCTGCACTGCTACCTGGAAGTTTGTGTAAGGAAATGGCCGGCGTAGAACAGTAAAGCTGGATAACAGTGATGGAAATAACTAGTGTGGAAAAAACATTAATTTTGGAAAGCCCTATATCAACATGTGCCTTCTGCCTGTGACGCCTGTGTGGCCGGTTGGGCAGGTGAACAGCGGCCTGGTGAACAGGGCCTACAACACGCTGCTGTACTACCGCAACCTCAGCCGCAACTTCCACCGCACCACGGACGTGCGGGACGTGCGGCTCCACAACACGCTGCTGGCTGGCTTCGCCAAGAAGGTGGGCCACGCTCGGGGCGCGGTCTCCTGGGAAGTTTGTGCTGTGAAAAGGGGGCCGAAATCTGCTGTGGGCGGTATTTTCTGCAGGGGTGATGCTTTTTATTACCCCCCACACGTAGAATGGTCCGTGTCCCACTGGCATGGCCCGTTTTTTGTGAAATTTTTAGGCATGGAAGCTAATTTTCCGTACGTACGAGTCGCAGCCGCGACGTGTCGTGTATGATTTAGTACTTAACCAGTTTGCGTGATGCACCCCAGACGAACATACGTCGGCAGAGCTTCCGGTCAAAGGCTGGAACCGTCCTGCGTCGAACAGTGTTGAGATTACCTGGGGGCATATGGGTGGTGTATTCAAGCACGGATGTCGATCGTGTCACACTTTTGATCTGCTCTGGTTGTCGATATATCGTAGTAACCATGACCGTGTCACAAATTGGCGTGCCTGTGTGTCAGGTCAGGTCAGGGTGTTCTGAGCCTTTCTCTGTAACGACACGTCATGCTAGAGCACGCGAAAGTGCACCCAATCGTCCACGCTTCTGCTTTTCCATTCGCACCCCAATGGGCCCTGTACACAACGGAAGCAGTGTGGTGAGAGGTTGTCGAAGCATCGGCTAGCGGTGCTCTCGCGGCGACACACTGACCTCCGCGTGGCGCACGACGTCCTGCGCCAGGTCAGGGGAACATCGCGACACCGGTGTGACTCCGTGGCGTGATCGCTGGGTGATGGCCTCCCCGTTTGGGGCGCGCTGTGCTGGTGATGGCGGCCGCTGGTGCTGAACGCGGTGTCTGCGGCGGCGGCGGAGACGTTGCTGACTGGTACGGACTCCTTGCCATCCGCCGCCCTGCAGGGCCAGCTGGACCGCGTCTCGGACGTGCTGAAGGTGATGCGGGACGACCTGGTGGCGCCAGACGCCGAGAGCTACGCGCTGGTGTTCCAGTGCCTGGGCCGGCAGCCGAAGACGACGGAGAACGTCCGGTTTGCCCGCGGTCTGCTTCAGGAGATGGACGAGGCGGTACGCACTGTAGTCAGGCCTTGCCGTCGCGCTCTCGCCGAATGACGGCTCGTGGCACAGGAGTCGACCGTGATGAAATCGCAGCTGTATGTCACTGCATGCATTAGAGATGGAGCGGTAATAGGATGTTGGTGTTGTGGTAATGGAATATGTATATTGAAATAATTTGTCTTGAGCGTTCGGATTTCCCCGAAGTGGTTATTTTTTGTTTTAGTGAATTTGTATTTGTCAGCGTATATTACTAGGCCACACTTTCTGTGTGAGTTCTCAAAGACACGTGGTTCCATTAACTGGGGCGGTGGTATTATCCGCACAATACGGACTGCCGCCTCCGTTATTATGTCGGTCGGCCCACGCCACGCCAGGCCTGTGATCGGCCTGTGTGTGAGCTCAGAAGGTGCTGTAACGTTTCGCGATATTCAAGGGGGAGAAATGGGTCCGATATCTGAATGGTCAGCGTCCACATGCATATTTATTATCAGGACCTCGTAATCTGCTGAGTTGAAATAATTGAGGTCTGTGTGTAATTGGTGATTGTCGTGTTGTGGTTTGATGCCGTCTCACGGAAGCGTGAGTTTGAGTGTGCGTGTGGGTGGGTGTGGGTGCACACGTGCGCGCAGGCAACGGGACACGACCGGACAGGGACGGCGCTCCTGCTCGTCTGCGCCGCTGACCGCTGTTGAGTCTGCTTTTGAGTCTGCTGGTTGAGTCGATGTGTTGGTGCACCTCTGGTCGACCCCCCCCCCCCCCCCCCCCCAATCTGACGGCATGTGGGACCAGCGCACCCTCTGCCGGCTGACGCGCGCCCGTGTGTGGTACAGAGTGTCTGTCCGATGGACCCCCCGATCTGACGGCATGTGGGGCCAGCGCACCCTCCGCCAGCTGACGCGCGCCCGCGCGCGGCACAGAGTGTCTGTCCGATGGACCCCCCGATCTGACGGCATGTGGGGCCAGCGCTCCCTCTGCCAGCTGACGCGCGCCCGTGTGTGGTACAGAGTGTCTGTCCGATGGACCCCCCGATCTGACGGCATGTGGGGCCAGCGCACCCTCCGCCAGCTGACGCGCGCCCGTGCGCGGCACAGAGTGTCTGTCCGATGGACCCCCCGATCTGACGGCATGTGGGACCAGCGCACCCTCTGCCAGCTGACGCGCGCCCGTGTGTGGTACAGAGTGTCTGTCCGATGGACCCCCCGATCTGACGGCATGTGGGGCCAGCGCACCCTCCGCCAGCTGACGCGCGCCCGTGCGCGGCACAGAGTGTCTGTCCGATGGACCCCCCAATCTGACGGCATGTGGGACCAGCGCACCCTCTGCCGGCTGACGCGCGCCCGTGTGTGGTACAGAGTGTCTGTCCGATGGACCCCCCGATCTGACGGCATGTGGGGCCAGCGTACCCTCCGCCAGCTGACGCGCGCCCGTGCGCGGCACAGGGTGTCCGCCTGAGGGACGCCAACGGTCTGTCGCTGGGTGGAACCAACCGCGCGCTCGCCCTCAAAGCGCTGAGCTGGGCCGACCAGGGCCGGGCCCGCGCCTGGCCCACCACCCCCGTCCACTACGACTGCTCGCTGCTGACCCACCTCAACGCTGACCTGGACACGCATCAGGTATGGACGCGGGACACGTGCTGCGCGCCGAGCGCGGCTCTGGCCAGCGGTGGTGGAATGCTTTTGCGAGGTCGCGTCGGTCGGGTTTTGGACGCGGGACACGTGCTGCGCGCCGAGCGCGGCTCTGGCCAGCGGTGGTGGAATGCTTTTGCGAGGTCGCGTCGGTCGGGTTTTGGACGCGGGACACGTGCTGCGCGCCGAGCGTGGCTCTGGCCAGCGGTGGCGGAATGTTTTTGCGAGGTCGCGTCGGTCGGGTTTTGGACGCGGGACACGTGCTGCGCGCCGAGCGTGGATCTGGCCAGCGGTGGCGGAATGTTTTTGCGAGGTCGCGTCGGTCGGGTTTTGGACGCGGGACACGTGCTGCGCGCCGAGCCAGGCTCTGGCCATTGGTGGCGGAATGTTTTTGCGTGGTCGCGTCGGTCGGGTTTTGGACGCGGGACACGTGCTGCGCGCCGAGCGTGGCTCTGGCCAGCGGTGGTGGAATGTTTTTGCGTGGTCGCGTCGGTCGGGTTTCGGACGCGGGACACGTGCTGCGCGCCGAGCGCGGCTCTGGCCATTGGTGGCGGAATGTTTTTGCGAGGTCGCGTCGGTCGGGTTTTCCCTCCCCCATACGTTTTTCGTAGAGCATATATCCTAAACCCCGTAGGAGATATGCATTTCGGAGAAGAATATAGTGCTGTACGCTGCCTGGGACTGCACAGAATTGCGAAGGCAATTTACCGCACTAACAATTGTTTTTGCACGTGGTGGCCACGGCCCCGGTTGCCCAATGCCCAGTCACATGCCTGAATGACCACAGCTAGTAAAAACACGCAACGTGTGTGCCAGCACATGGTCCGCGGTGGGCCGGCGAGGGGGTTCAGCATACCGCACCGCTGACAGCGGCGAAGCCATAATGACTGACGCTTTAGGTATGGGGGCGAACGCATTTCGAAATGCTCGAAACTGATCCGACCGTGTTATCCTCTTTCTTGCTTCATCCTTCATCCTCGCGACGCCCACGCGGGCTGCATGCGCCAGCCACGAGGGGACCGAGAGGGCCCCTGGAGGGGAGGCCGACCGGGCGCTCGGTGCATACCCCGCAGAGGGTCCCTGCGCGTGCTAAGGCTCGGTGTTTGGCCCCCCTCAGGTGCATGTCCTGTCCTGCCTCACCGTTATACATTCTCGTTTATCCCATACCCCTGAAATGATCATTGTTGGTGGAAAGGGCTTGAATCCAACTAGCAAAATACACAGAACTATTGGGTGGATGTTGCCCTCCGTGAATCAGTCTTCACGCTAGTGTTCACGCATCCGTCTCACCTGAATTGGGTGTTTCCGTGTGGAATTCAAGATCGATTTCGAACGCGCGACGTTGGTCGCTTTCCCATCGATCGCTGTTGTCGCTGTGATTGCGAGAGCGTTGCGATAGCTCGTGATGTGTTGGCGTTGTTATGGGTCCGCGAGCGGGGAGATTGCGTAACGATTTGTAGACGGTACTTGGGCGAACGCTGCACCGGTGATTACATGCTGTTATTTGGCCGGGTGCCTAGGCCTGATATGAATCCTGCAAAACGCCCCAAACTCGCCGAATCACCAGCTGTTGCACGAGTGCTCGCCCGTAGCTGCACGCATTGGCTCGCACCCTTGCCAGTACGATTATCCCTCCTTTTCCCAGTCAAAGTACGCCGCTTTGGTTTCGCTGTAAACCCCCTGCCCGGATAGGGGCCCGCTTTCCTGCAGCCATTCGACGAGTGTTGCCCAGTTACGAATTTTGCGTTCCTGTGATGAACCAGTGGGCACGTTTACACGTACCACGTATTGCTCGTCACACTGCTCGGAGGGGCACAAAAACTTAACAATCGTTGGTTGTACCATTTTGAAACATCATTACCATGCCGTACCTTACTACAGTACGCCGCAATCGCTTTACCGCCCCGCACCATACCACACCTTACCATATCTTGCGTAACACGCGTGGCATCATCGGACCCTCGCCGCAGCTGCTGCAGGGCGGCACACCGAGAGCGACGTGGTCATTCAGCACTGATGTGTACAAAGCAGAGATGTGATAGCCCGAAAATGTCATGCCATCCCTTTTTTTAAAAGCCATTTGTGGACCGAAGCGGCTACCGTATATTTCTGTCGTTATTTCTGTCATGGACTGATCTGAGGAGAATTGACATGATCAGACTTGCCAGTGAGTGCGACTGGTGCTGTGTGGGGAACCAGACCTGCCCTGCCCTGCCCTGCCCTGCCCTGCTCTGACCTGACCTGACCTGACCTGACCTGACCTGACCGGGCAGGTGGAGTCGCCGGCTCTGGGTGTGAAGCTGGAGCGGCCGTACAGCGAGCTGGCTCGAGAGCAGATCAGCAACGAGCTGGCCGGCACGGTCACCGTGGCGAGCGTGTACCGCCCGAGCGATGAGCCGCTGCCCCGCTCCAGGGAGCACAGTGTGAGTCAGCGCCGTCACCGGTCGTCCGCAGTAACCCCTCTCAAGGGATCACAGTGTGAGTCAGCGCCACCACCGGTCGCTGGCATCAACCCCTCTAGGGAACACAGTGTGAGTCAGCGCCACCACCGGTCGCTCGCAGTAACCCCTCTCTAGGGAACACAGTGTGAGTCAAAACCGCCACCGGTCGCCCGCAGTAACCCCTCTTTAGGGAACACAGTGTGAGTCAGCGCCGCCGCCGGTCGCCCGCAGTAACCCCTCTCTAGGGAACACAGTGTGAGTCAGCGCCGCCACCGGTCGCCCGCAGTAACCCCTCTCCAGGGAGCACAGTGTGAATCAGCGCCGCTACCGGTCGCCCGCAGCAACGAAACATGCAAGCTCCTCAGCAGAGAAGAAGCGGCTCAAGAAGAGGAATGTATACTTGCATGAAGAGCTTTAAATGTGAAAGCGTTGATCTCTTTAACATGTTAAAATAGACGGTGAAGTCCATTGCGTCCTTCATGTACGTGAACGGTTGGGTACTGGTATATTTATGTGTTGGATGACTTGCATGAGGTGGCAGCATGACAAAGTTCTGTCGTCTGTTACCAAATGTTTGATGTCGTCCCCAAAGAACGTCCGCAGGTCCGGACATTGGTGTGTCACTGTCACTCGCTTGCTGACATCAGTCGCTGCCGTCTCTTCAGAGCGTTGGCGTGTCTTTGGAGGGGCCAGCCGGTGCACACCGTCGCCCGCAGGCTGACAGTCGGTGTGTTCCCTCAGAACGCGTACATGTCCCGTCTGGAGGCCGACTGGGAGAAGAGCCTGACGGCCGGCTTCCACCGCAACCTGGGACCCGTACGCCAGCAGTACCACAGCAACCAGATGAGCCGCTGCATCAGCCTCTACCCCTACCTCACCGGCATGGAGGTGCGCGAGTACGTGCGCCTGATGATGACGGAGATCCAGGGTCACCTGTCCAACTCGGCCCAGCAGCTGCTGGGCAGGAGCTCGCTGCATCGTCGGCTCGGCGAACTCGCCATGAAGCGGTCAGTACGCGGCCGGCTGCAGGGCGGCCGCGCCAGCTCTCGTGACAGGACCTGTGTGTGGTGGCGGAGCTCTCGTGACAGGACCTGTGTGCGGTGGTAGAGCTCTCGTGACAGGACCTGTGTGTGGTGGTGGAGCTCTCGTGACAGGACCTGTGTGTGGTGGTGGAGCTCTCGTGACAGGACCTGTGTGCGGTGGTAGAGCTCTCGTGACAGGACCTGTGTGTGGTGGCGGAGCTCTCGTGACAGGACCTGTGTGCGTTGGTGAAGCTCTCGTGACAGGACCTGTGTGCGGTGGTGGAGCTCTCGTGACAGGACCTGTGTGTGGTGCTAGACAGATCCACCAGGGAGGGGGGGGGGGGCTTGACCTCCTTCCGGGGAAGCACGGAAGGTGACCTCCGGTAGTTAAGTTTCTATGGTGAGATGAACGTCTGTGGGTGAGGAAGCGTCCAGGTGATGACCGCTAGCCTCGGCGTGCCCTGAGCATTCACGTGACGGGGCGGGTCACCCGCCGCGAGGTGCGCATGCGCATTACGCGCGCGGTGCGAACCGCATTACAGGTATTCAGTGCAAGATAGATTCGTGTTGGATGTTTTGCCCCGGCAAAAAGCCCGAGAAAATACTCCAACGAATTTGATGGCCCCACTTGGGCGAGAATGCGTTGTAAACGCCTTCGGTGGCATGAGCTCCGCTCTGCGTGAGGCGGGGCACTGGTTCTCCAACGTTTGCGAAATTTGTCGCTGCACCTATGGTGCTGTTTGCAAAGAAGCACTATACAAAGACAAACAAGCATGCAATTCGGAGAAAAGGGGTTTGTAACATTCTGTCGTATGTTAAATAGGTCGCGGCGCAAACATTAAGCAGCGCCAAAAAAGTATCTACCCTCTTCAGACATGCTGTTGAACTCCAGGCATGAGGATGCTTAGTTTCCATGCATTATTATGCGTTTGCTCGATCTGCGAAGTATTTGTTTGACTTTGCAGCTTGATCCACTCTGGGTGCTGTTGATTGTGTGTGTTTGCGGGGTGCTCGGAGACGGCGGTGTGCTCCATTGTGTGAGTTGCCGTATGACATTGCAGTATTTTGAATTGTTTGTTGCAACTGTATAATGCATTCTAATCAGTCGCTCGAAATGGTTATTAATATGTGCGCCGGGACATACGACGCCATTGGATGGGATCGGCTGGCAGGTACCAGAGCCACGTGAAGCAGAGCTCGGGTCTGGTGGACCGTCTGATGGAGGTGTACGGTGTGTACCTGGACTGGTACGGTCGGGCCGATGCCCCGGGCTACACGCCTCGACAGCGCTGGAGCCGCGTGGTGGCCGAGCACCGCTCAACCACAGACCTGGTGAGAGGACAGAGGCAGGAACCTGGTGAGAGGGCAGTGGCAGGGACTTGGCGAGAGGGCAGTGGCAGGGACCTGGCGAGAGGGGAGGAACAGGGACCTGGTGGGAGGGCAGGGGCAGGGACCTGGTGAGAGGGCAGTGGCAGGGACTTGGCGAGAGGGCAGTGGCAGGGACCTGGCGAGAGGGGAGGAACAGGGACCTGGTGGGAGGGCAGGGGCAGGGACCTGGCGAGAGGGCAGTGGCAGGGACCTGGCGATAGGCCAGAGACCTGGCGAAAGAGCAGGGGTAGAGGGGGCTGGTGAGAGGGCAGGGACAAGAACCTGGCGAGAGGGCAGTGGCAGGGACCTGGTGAGAGGGCAGGGACAGGGACCTGGTGAGAGGGCAGGGACAGGGACCTGGCGAGAGGGCAGAGACCTGGCGAAAGAGCAGGGGTAGAGGGGGGCTGGTGAGAGGGCAGGGACAAGAACCTGGCGAGAGGGCAGTGGCAGGGACCTGGTGAGAGGGCAGTGGCAGGGACCTGGTGAGAGGGCAGGGACAGGGACCTGGTGAGAGGGCAGGGACAGGGACCTGGCGGGAGGACAGGAACGAAGACCTGATGAGGGGGCAGGGGTAGAGGGGCTGGCGAGAGGGCAGGGACAGGGACCTGGCGAGAGGACAGGGGTAGAGGGGGCTGTTGATAGGTCTGTGCTGGCGTGTGTTTGTCGGCCGGCTGATGCGATCTTTGGCTCTCGCGTTTCGTCAGGAGTACCGCGACAGAGGCTGGTCGCCCGTTATCATCAGCAGCATCGGACAGTTCCTCTACAAGCTGATCCTGCACGACGTGAAGATTGACCCCAGCATCACCAAGCTTGCCCGTCTTACCGAGTACGTGGGAACATAACTGACATAATCAGACATGGCCTGGCCTGACCTGACCTGGCCAGGTTCGGTACAATGTGCGTGCGTGCGTGCGTGCGTGTGTTGTGTGTGTGTGTGTTGTGTGTGTGTGTGTTGTGTGTGTGTGTGTGCGTGCGTGCGTGCGTGCGTGCGTGCGTGCGTGCGTGCGTGCGTGCGTGCGTGCGTGCGTGCGTGCGTGCGTGCGTGTGTGTGTGTGCGCGTCGAAAATGGGGCGCGTTCTTCGTCCAACCAAAGTGTAATTGCATTGGCATCCTGAGATTGGCTTTGCTCCTCATAAAACCTCAACATTTTTATATTTAATGTGGCGATCGGTGCTTACATACTTCACGTAAGTTCCCAACGGTACCATTTTCCAATCAAGCAGCCCATAAAACCTTCATTGATGTGAACTCATGTTATTCAGAGTTTCTATTCTGCCACGTCATTGCTTATTTGTGTTATTAGACCCAATGTCGCCATTTTGATGAGGATGCCGGACCCTGGACTCGTCAGCTGTCTGGTGATCTATAGTGCTGAGCGTCAGCCACACTATTGATGCCGGACTTAACCGTGATGCCGCCATTGCCTCGTGTCATGCCTAGCCAGTGCGAAGAGCCAGTGTGCCGCGCTGTGTGGCTCGTCCAGCCAGTGTGCCGCGCTGTGTCGCCCGTTCGGCAGTGTGCCGCGCTGTGTCATCTGTTGGGCAGTGTGCCGGGCTATGTTGCCTGTTCGGCCGGTGTGCCGCGTTGTGTCACCTGTGTCGCCGCGATTACACTTCTGGGACTACGTCACTCGTCTCCTGTGAGATTGGTGGTGCATGAATATTGATCCGTTATGTTCGCTGATTTCGGTCCCTCTGTGGCATTGACTGCTGTTTCTTGTCATCGCCGCTTCTTCCACGCATCATCACAGATAACGTTGTGCTAACCCTTCCTGCCAGCTGCGAATATGGCGATTGGGCTCTTTCTCTGGCCAGGTGGCCTCTAACGGTATGGCTCCACCAGACCGCTTACCAGACAGCCCTCGAGAGCATGTCCCGCCCGGTAGACAGCGTCGGACAGCGTTTCGCCGCGGGGAAAACTCTCTGACATGGCGCCTCCGCCCGGCAGGCACCCGATCCCGGCGTTCTACACGGTGTTCCGCCAGGACGGCGCCCGTCACCGGGAGGTGGTGAAGCCGCACCCGGCGCTGGCGCGCTTGTACCGGGCCACGCGCCGCCACCAGATCACGTTCGACACGAACCTGGTGCCGATGGTGTCGCCGCCGCTGCCCTGGGTGTCGGCGCGCTCCGGCGGCTACCTCATGTCCTCGTCGCCGCTGATGCGCATCAGGTGAGGCGGTGAGCCCGCCGCACGGGGAGCTGCTCTGCTGCGGAGAGCGGTGCTGGGCTCGTGCGGTGTGCGCTCGGGCCGCTCCTGTCCCGCCAGCAGCCGTCACCATCGTGTTGGCGGACGTGGTGGCAACACAATGCATACCATTTTTGGAGGCAGTAAACATTTTTTAGAACATTTACGCTGATTGAGCTAGGCAAAGCCACAGAGAGTGTGGGTTAGATTTGACCATTGTTTGTGTCGTGGCCCAGGCGGCACTGTGACGTTGACGCGGGGCTGGACGGCACTGCGGCCAGCTCGCGCTGCCGATACCGCACTGACAGCCGTCTGCTGCGGCCGCCAGGGCGTCTGGCCAGGCGAGCTCGCAGCTGAAGCGGCTGGAGGAGACGCCCACCCAGCAGCTGTATCCGGTGCTGGACTCGCTGAACCAGCTGGGAGCCGTCCCCTGGATCATCAACCAGCAGGCGAGGCTGCTGACCTGGAGAGGCTACCCAGCTGTGTCTCAGAGCTGGCTTTGAGAGGCTACCCCATTGTGTCTCAGAGCTGTACTTGGAGAGGTTATCCCACCGTGTCTCAGAGCTGGCTTTGGAAAGGCTACCGCATTGTGTCTCAGAGCTGGACTTGGAGAGGTTATCCCATTGCGTCTCAGGGCTAGACATGGAGAGGCCACTCCGCTGTGTCTCAGAGCTGGTCCGTGCGCCGCCGGTGTCCCTCTGACCTAGAGCGGACCCAGAATGCCGCGTTGGGGGTCGTCTCCGGGTTGGGAGGGAGAAAAACCGAAAAATCGTCCTTAGTGCCAAAGGTGGCAAAAAACCAAGATTTGGCTTTTTGCGCCCTTTGACCTCCAGGAGCGTTCGAAATGAACTTCCCGTCGCAAAATTTGTTAAGATTTTCAGCAAGGTGAGCCCAGCAATGTGTCATTTTTACCCAAGTTAGGCCATCTTGCAGGGGGGGGGGGGGGGGATGGCCCAGTTGGCCCCGTTGTATCCGCTCATGCCTGCATCTGTGCGCTCGCCGCCCGGCGTATGCTGCCGAGCGGGCGCTTAGTGTTTGCCGGGTGCTGACTGCCGCCAGGTACTGGACGTCGTGCTGCACTTATTCAACAACAACGGCTGTGCCGAGCTGGACATCCCGGCGCCGGTGACGCAGCTGCCGCCGCTGCCTACGCTGGACAGCACCATGACGCCCGCCGAGAAGCACCAGGGTAGGAGTGTGTGCGGCCCGGGGCCGGCGCCGGGCCGTCGAGCCCCGGCCGACGCTGGCGGGCCGTCACGCGGCTGGCGGCGAACCCTGCGCGCCTCCGGACGCTGCTGGCCACTCGGGCCGCGCGGCCAGCACAGTCGGGTGTACGCGCTTCTCGTCTGAACACTTCTGGCGTGGGGGATCAGTGGTCTAGGCATTGCCATTATTACACACAGCTTTCGGTCGTATGACACCAACGCAGTCGGCGCGCTCCGAAACCCAAATTATCGCCGTCATCGTCATCATCATCATCATCAGGATTGTTTCCATCACGGACATTCTCTGTCATTGAATGCCACGCTGGCGCCTTGCACCACGTGGCGCGCCCAGCTGATGTACCGGCCGAGCTGCGGATTAGCCCGTACCTCACTGTGGGGCTTCCTGTCGATGGCCCGACAACGGGCTGTTCATTTCATTTCACGTCTCGCCAAATCTGATTTTTCCAATTTATGCGGCCGCCAGCTCCGAGGAACACCAAGAACACCAAGAAGAAAACTAACACGAAACGAACAGCATGCACCGTCGTGGATCTTCCTGGAAATCCAATGAACGGATTCTTCAGGGCTGATGAATGCCACTATACGTGCCGTCAGTCACGCACCGAAATGTTGGATCCTCATTTGGTCAATTGATTTAGCTTTCGGACGTGACCCCGGAGTTGGCGTCATGGAGTTGACGTCAGCAAAGTCAGAAATCATCGGATCACCGGACATGTTCCCTCCATTTCCCACCTCTCGCATGGTTTCACGACGCCTTCCTGCCATGCGTTGTTGTACCGCTGGAATGCGGTTACGAAGAGGGCTAGCCGCTCTTAGGGCGTGTGCTAAAGCGAAAACAGTGCAGAATTGTAGCCCCGCAAAATGGCAATGGCTAGCGAAAAGGAAGTTTGACAAACCAACAGGATCTGATCCTATAATCTTCCACGTCTGTTAATAAATGGGTACTTGTCCGTGCCCTAACGCGCTTGAAGCTTTCTTGACCACGTCAAGTCATCTAGTTTGTCTTGAAAGTGGCCAACAGGTGTGTGCATGCGTGGCTGGAAGAAGCGTCTGTTCCCTATGACGTACGCCGAGCTTTTGACCTGTGACCTCCATTTGACCTGCTGCGCCCCGACAGTGAAGCAGCAGCGGGCTCAGATGAGTCGCCGAAAAGCAGAGCAGTTCAGCCTCTGGTGCGACGCGCTCTACAAACTCAGTCTGGCCAATCACGTGAGTGACGACACACCTGGCTCGTGATCACGCCCACCGCGACAGCGTCCACCCCCGGACAGGGTCACGCGTAGCTACTCGTGTGTGTTTGTCGGGACGCTGCCGAAGTACTCCCGCTTAGGCTCCGCCCACGTTAGCCCTACCAAACAACTGCCGTGCGTGCGTAGGTGTATTGCGGCACTGGGCGCATTCGTCTCGAACGCAGTATGAGCATATACCGCGACAGCCCCATGTTACAACGCGATCAAAGCGTGCTGAAATGGTGCTTGAAGCAATACCCATGCGCTTGTGTTGCGTGCATGACTACTGCACTAAACGGACTGTCCGTCGCTCAAACGTGCTCCGACGGTGTGCTGTCCTGCCACGTGACTGCCAGCCGGTCAGCGTTTGCTGACCTGCCCGCGCCTGCGGCAGTTTCGCGAGCGCGTGCTGTGGCTGCCACACACGGTGGACTTCCGCGGGCGCGCCTACCCCTGCCCGCCCCACCTCAGCCACCTGGGCTCCGACCTGTCGCGCTCGCTGCTCAAGTTCGCCCGGGGCAAGCCGCTCGGTCAGAAGGGACTCGACTGGCTCAAGGTCAGCACGTGGTGGGGCTGGGGGCTGGGTGTCTGCTGCTGGTCGGAAGGGGCTCGACTGGCTCAAGGTCAGCACGTGATGGGGCTGGGGGCTGGGTGTCTGCTGCTGGTCGGAAGGGGCTCGACTGGCTCAAGGTCAGCACGTGATGGGGCTGGGGGCTGGGTGTCTGCTGCTGGTCGGAAAGGGCTCGACTGGCTCAAGGTCAGCACGTGATGGGGCTGGGGGCTGGGTGTCTGCTGCTGCTGGTCGGAAGGGGCTCGACTGGCTCAAGGTCAGTACGTGGTGGGGGTGGGTGTATGCTGCTGCTGGTCGGAAGGGGCTCGACTGGCTCAAGGTCAGCACGTGGTGGGGCTGGGGGCTGGGTGTCTGCTGCTGCTGGTCAGAGGGGACTCGACTGGCTCAAGGTCAGCACGTGGCGGGGCTGGGGGCTGGGTGTCTGCTGCCGCTGATCAGAAGGGACTCGATTGGCTCAAGGTCAGCACGCGGTGGGGGGTGGGTGTATGCTGCTGCTGGTCGGAAGGGACTCGACTGGTTCAAGATCAGCAGGTGGCGGGGGTGGGTGTCTGCTGCTGATCAGAAGGGACTCGACTGGCTCAAGGTCAGCACGTGGTGGGGGTGGGTGTATGCTGCTGCTGGTCAGAGGGGACTCGACTGGCTCAAGGTCAGCACGTGGTGGGGCTGGGGGCTGGGTGTCTGCTGCTGCTGATCAGAAGGGACTCGATTGACTTAAGGTCAGCACGTGGCGGGGGTGGGTGTCTGCTGCTGCTGGTCAGAAGGGACTCGACTGGCTCAAGGTTAGTACGTGGTGGGGGGGGGGGGGGCTGGGTGTCTGCTGCTGCTGCTGGTCGGAAGGGGCTTGACTGGCTCAAGGTCAGTACGTGGTGGGGCTGGGGGCCGGGTGTTTGCTGCTGCTGATCAGAAGGGACTCGATTGACTCAAGGTCAGCACGTGGCGGGGGTGGGTGTATGCTGCTGCTGGTCAGAGGGGACTCGACTGGCTCAAGGTCAGCACGTGGTGGGGCTGGGGGCTGGGTGTCTGCTGCTGGTCAGAAGGGACTCGACTGGCTCAAGGTCAGCAGGTGGGGGGGGGGGGGGGGGGGTCTGCTGCTGCTGGTCAGAAGAGACTCGACCGGCTCAAGGTCAACACGTGGTGGGGCTGGGTGTCTGCTGCCCCGGTCAGATGTACGGTGTGACTGTTGTAGTGAAGTCCTGTGGGGCATGCCGTCCTGGAAGCATACATGTGTCTGAAGTCACCGAAAATCCTAGAATCCTTAAAACATTGCATTCTATGGTCTTCTGAAGTTATTTTTGGGATTCGGTCATATGTCTGCCTGGCAGCATGCCATTCTTAATCAGGAATTCCTCAAGCATGATAAAACAGAGATGATAGCATAAGCTGTTATAATGAAGCTAAAAATTATTGGAAGTTGTTAGGCGGTATTCTCAATGACGGGAAATAGTGCAAAGGTGGGTAGAAATGGATCTGAGGACGAAACAATATCGCGGTCTCGAAGCAACATCGCGATGTTAATAAGCACCTCCGCCAACAGTGCGTCGCCTATCAAGTGATTTTGTTGTCAGTCGATTTGCTCTGGATCCTGTTAATTTGCTCCGCTCCATTTGCATTCGGTAATAATCTGATACGCATATAACAACACCAAATGTTTCCAAACTACGTGATTGTTTGACTGAAAGGTACTTCGAATGCGGTTCTTGTCCAAAACATACGTCAAGCCCGATCCCCAGTTCTGCATCGTCAGAGAAGCCACATCCACCTCGTCGCCGGGGCTTACAGCGCCAGTAAACCTCGCGGTCCGGTCTCGTAGCCGCCGTGTCTCTTGGCGGGCACCGTGTCGACGTTCGCGTGTTTCTCAGGTGCACCTGATAAACCTGACGGGCGTGAAGAAGCGAGAGCCGACGTCGGAGCGGCTGCGCTACTGCGACGAGGTTCTGGACGACGTTCTGGACTCGGCCGACCGGCCGCTGACGGTGAGGGGCGCTCTGGAGGGCGCCGGTCGCTGACGGTGAGGGGCGCTCTGGAGGGCGCCGGTCGCCGGCCGGTGGCACGGAAACGTGCTGCCAGCTCGGACATCGGGTGTTGTTCGAACTGCACATCGCTGTGGTGTGGTGCCCTCCGTGCGAAGAGCTTGCGGCTGGTGACCCGAGTCAGCCCGTCTGACCGCCCCACCCGCCCTGCCAAGGGTCGGCAGCGTGAGAGCCCACGTCTCCGACTTTGTCGACGAGGCCTTGCAATAACAACTTTCCGACGAGAGCTTTGTCTTGTCCGTGTGTTGGTCCTCGACCCGTGTGTCCTCTGCCCTGTCCGTGTGTTGGTCCTCGTTCCGTGAAGCGTCTATCCTCAATCCTGTCCGTGTGTTGGTCCTCGTTCCGTGAAGCGTCTATCCTCAATCCTGTCCGTGTGTTGGTCCTCGTTCCGTGAAGCGTCTATCCTCAATCCTGTCCGTGTGTTGGTCCTCGTTCCGTGAAGCGTCTATCCTCAATCCTGTCCGTGTGTTGGTCCTCGTTCCGTGAAGCGTCTATCCTCAATCTTGTCCGTGTGTTGGTCCTCGTTCCGTGAAGCGTCTATCCTCAATCCTGTCTGTGTGTTGGTCCTCGGTCCGTGACGTCTGTCCTCTTCCCTGTCTGTGTGTTGGTCCTCGGTCCGTGACGCCTGTCCTCTGCCCTGTCCGTGTGTCGGTCCTCGGTCCGTGACGCCTGTCCTCTGCCCTGCCCGTGTGTCGGTCCTCGGTCCGTGACGCATCTGTCCCCGGCACGCCAGGGCCGAGGCTGGTGGCGGCGCTCGGAGGAGCCGTGGCAGACGCTGGCCTCCTGTCAGGAGCTGGCCGCCGCGCTGCGCTCGGCCGAGCCGACCGCCTTCGTCAGCCACCTGCCCGTCCACCAGGACGGCTCCTGTAACGGGCTGCAGCACTACGCGGCACTGGGCCGCGACACGGCCGGCGCTGCCAGCGTCAACCTGGCGCCGGCCGACCGGCCGCAGGACGTCTACAGCGGCGTGGCCGTGCTGGTGAGGCGCCCGCACGCCGCGCAGGCAGAATGTACCGACCGCACAGCCGAACCCGAGGGCGGCACGGCGTAGTGGAGATCCCACACAGTTCAGGGCTGGGGCAGTGTTCACTGCGACGACGCAGTGGTCCTGCCTCGCGCAGGATCCCATGACGACCAGCGAGGTGTGCTGGTCGCCCGGAGGACCGTGAGTGAGCAATGTTTCGCCGCGAGATGCCAGGCGTAAACCATGCCAAAGGCTCGCTTCCATGGAAAGCAACAACTCGGCGAGAGCGGCTGAAATAGTTCACTTTTGCTGTGGCGTGTGCTGTCACCTATAATCAGCAGAACTCTACGGTAGGGTGACATGGAGTGCGCTTTACATCCAGCCATCCTTGCTGGGCCAAGCATTACTGAATCAGGCGACAGCTCCCCACAGAGGGGGACGAGATTGTGAGTTCGGGCTTCTTTTGCTGGCAGTTATTGACCCACAGTATATCAACCAGCAGGTACCGGTTAAATGACGTTATCAAGAGAACATTGGTTAGGTGGTCAATATTTTAGTTTCACACTGTGCCCCCAATCACGAGCGAAAGGTAAAGCCGTGTTAAACTCACATCCTGTTCCCTTTTGATCATGCTCACCTCGTGAAATTAAATATTGACAATATAACCAATGTTTGCTTGATTACGTTTGACCAGTGCTTCCCGGAATTGATAAATGTCAGCATAAGAACTCTGAACCCATAATGCTAAAAAAACAGGGGCTCAAAACCTTTCTTGCTGATATGAAGTGGGACGGTGTCGGTGTGTCCCCAGCGACGCCGGCCGGTCTGTGTCGCGGCCGCCTCTGCCTCCTGCGGGGGCGTCGTCGGTGTGTCCCCAGCGGCGCCGGCCGGTCCGTGTCGCGGCCGCCTCCGCCTCCGGCTGGGGCGGTGTCGGTGTGTCCCCAGCGGCGCCGGCCGGCCCGCGCCGCGGCCGCCTCCGCCTCAGGCCTGGGCAGTGCCGGCGGTGACGGCGCGCGGGGTCGCCAGGTGGAGCAGCAGCGCCAGAAGGACGCCAGCGAGGGCCTGCCGATCGCCGCCGCGCTCGACGGCTTCGTGCGCCGCAAGGTCGTCAAGCAGACGGTCATGACCACCGTGTACGGCGTCACACGCTACGGCGCTCGCCTGCAGATCGCCAAACAGCTCAACAGTGAGTCGCCGTCGCCGGCGCCGGCGGAGCGGCTCAGGCAGAGCTGTACTGCGCTGCTGCACCGCTGCTGGCAGTCATGACCAAGATGGACAATAAATGGCCCTGCAGTCATAGCGCCCGAAGGCCCAATAACTAACTAGCGACGGGCTGGGCTGGGCTGGGCTGGACCGAAGATGGGATCAGATAAAATAGGCTGTAAACCCGTATGGAACAGGAATGCACCACTGCAAATGTACAGGGACAGGCCGGGCACACTTTCCTGAGCGTGCATGTGAGTCACATAATCATATCTCCGACAAGACGCTTGGCCACGTACTTCAAACGCGGATGCATCGCTTGCCCAAGGAGTCATTGCTGTACACCTGCCTTCGCTAACGTGTCCCAAACTTCGTTCTATTCAATCATACTATGCTCTATTGGAGCGCTTTGAGTGGGGTTGAAACATGTGTGCATGTATTCGGTGTTACTCTGGCGTTGGTGGCGCTGCCATAGGCGCGATGGTTTGTCTGTGCGTCAGCTATCTAAGTGCATGGGTGGACTCGGCGCTGTCCGGCCGCCTCTGACTGACGCTCCCTCGGCCGTCTCTGACTGACGCCCCTCCGACCGTCTCTGACTGACGCTCCTCCGGCCGCCTCTGACTGACGCTCCTCCGGCCGCCTCTGACTGACGTTCCCTCGGCCGCCCCTAACTGACGCTCCCCGGCCGCCTCTGACTGACGTTCCCCCGGCCGCCCCTAACTGACGCTCCCCGGCCGCCTCTGACTGACGCTCTCCCGGCCGCCCCCAACTGACGCTCCTCCGGCCGCCTCTGACTGACGCTCCCCTGGCCGCCCCTAACTGACGCTCCCCGGCCGCCTCTGACTGACGCTCCTCCGGCCGTCTCTGAGCCTCTGACTGACGCTCCTCCGGCCGCCTCTGACTGACGCTCCTCCGGCCGCCTCTGACTGACGCTCCTCCGGCCGCCTCTGAGCCTCCGACTGACGCTCCTCCGGCCACCTCTGAGCCTCTGACCGACGCTCGCCCTGCCGCCTCCGACTGACGCTCCTCCGGCCGCCTCTGAGCCTCTGACTGATGCTCCTCCGGCCGCCTCTGACTGACGCTCGTCCGGCCGCCTCTGACTGACGTTCCCCCGGCCGCCTCTGACTGACGCTCCCCCGGCCGTCTCTGGCTGACGCTCCTCCGGCCGCCTCTGAGCCTCTGACTGACGCTCCTCCGGCCGCCTCTGACTGACGTTCCCCCGGCCGCCTCTGACTGACGCTCCTCCGGCCGCCTCTGACTGACGCTCCCCCGGCCGCCTCTGACTGACGCTCTTCCGGCCGTCTCTGACTGACGTTCCCCCGGCCGCCTCTGACTGACGCTCCCCGGCCGTCTCTGACTGACGCTCCTCCGGCCGTCTCTGAGCCTCTGACTGCCGCTCCTCCGGCCGCCTCTGACTGACGCTCCCCCGGCCGTCTCTGACTGACGCTCCCCCGGCCGTCTCTGACTGACGCTCCTCCGGCCGCCTCTGACTGACGCTCTCCCGGCCGCCTCTGACTGACGCTCCTCCGGCCGCCTCTGACAGACGCTCCCCCGGCCGTCTCTGACTGACGCTCCCCCCGGCCGCAGATATCCCGGACTTCCCGAAAGAGCACGTGTGGCAGGGCTCCCTCTACCTGGTGACGCGCACGTTCCTAAGCCTGCAGCAGATGTTCACTGCCGCCAAGGAGATCCAGGTAAGAGTGCCAACGAGTTCAAGGAGAGTACAGAGATCCCCGAGAGAAATGGGAGCCGTCGGGAGAGGTCGGGTAGGGCCCTGTTCAGGGAGCTAACTCACACGGGCTTGGTCACTCGGAACGTTCCGTTGGTTCGAAGTATGAGTACTGCGACCTATGACACGAAGGCAGCCTCAGCCTAAATTTGAATCGACAACCACTGCTAGCCCGCCCGCCCGCCACTGACCGTGGGCCCCGCGACCCGTTGACGTCCCTAATTGGCTGTGACGTGAGGCGGGGGTGGCTCTAACGGCGTCACCCACTCGCCCGGGGCGGGGGCGTTTGGTGCTCAAAATGTTATGCGTGATCGCTTGATGCTTCATGGAAGAAGCATCATGCGTCGTGCGTTGTGATGTGTATGACTTTGTGGATGTTCCGTATGCTTTGCTTCAGCCTCGAGCTCCCTCGCAGCGTGGCGACCAAGCGGGGTGCCGTTCGGCGGATGTTGTCGGGTGGGATGAGCCCCCCCCAGGCTGTGTGTGGGATGGGACGAGCCCCCCCCCCCCCAGACTGTGTGTCGGATGGGACGAGCCCCCCAGGCTGTGTGTGGGATGGGACGAGCCCCCCCCCCCCCCCCCCCCCAGACTGTGTGTCGGATTTGACGAGCCCCCCAGGCCGTGGCACCGATGAGTGGACGTCCAGGACCTGTTGAGCGGCGCACCCGAGTCGCCTCGGGTGGGTCGGCTGTGACGGCGTGCCGCCGGCTATGTGGCACACACGACACGCGCCTGAGCGGCCCCCGTCGCGGCAGGACTGGTTCACCGAGTGCGCGCGCGTCGTGTCGTCGGTGCGCGGCGAGTCGGTGGAGTGGGTGACGCCGCTCGGCCTGCCCGTCGTCCAGCCCTACTTCCGGCAAAACAACAAGCCGGCCAGCCGGCCGCTCGGCGACACGGGTCGCATGAGCTCGCCCCACTTCTACCACGAGGCCTACGAGTGAGTAACCCCCCCCCCCCCCCCCGGGGCATACCAGGTCGGGGCATACCAGGAAGTGGCTGAATTCAGGTCGCGTCAGACCATTGCCGTGGGTTACTTTTAGCTGCTGAATGCGGGACCAAAACGTGTCTCCATGCGGCTTACGCCTGTTAAGCGTTCCAGCCCGGTTCTCCCCGGTTGTTGTCTTTCCTGCCTAACCGTGTTACTCCGTAGCATGGGGGTCATACTTTTACGTGATCTTAGAGCACTGACTTTCAAGTCCACGCTTCTTACGTCGACTTATGACACCTATTTGCACCTTGTAGTACCGTAGCTTGCCGCCCGCGGCTTCCATGTGGGTGTGGTTCCTTTTTGCCTAATATTGTCAGCCACCTGACAGTGAGACCTCTTGCCGTAACAGGCCACCACAGCCGAATGACCGGGTCGAATTTGAGGCGAAAACGCTCTTGAGATTGGCAAGCTTGCTTTCGAGCAAGTGCAGGTGCCATAAGTCGCGTATAAAAACTTTTGGACGGATTTGACCTAGTATGACCTGTGATGGCCTGGATCCAAAACCCAGGCATAATAAAACCCGACATCACTGACGTCAAAGTCGATATTGATAAAATGATTAAGTCTGTCAATTGTCAACAGGTGAAATGCTTTGTCGACCTAGCGAGAAACCCAACTATAACCTTCATAATGACCTTGATGAATGAATGAATGAATGACCCAACTGTGACCTTCATAAATGGGTCGTGGGTCGCGACCTATCCGGGCAAATGCTGGGAACTGTCAGTGCGGTCAAAAACGTCGGCGTTAGCCACTAGAAAAAGATAGATTGAATGGCTGCCAAGTTATTCCAGGAAAAGTTCAGGAGCCTGCCAGGTCCCCTCTTGTCGGGCGACGGTCAGGATGCCTCCATGGACGACGTCGGGGATGGCCGGAGGTGGCCGGAGGACATCGCACCAACGCACTCAGCGCGGTCGACAGTCTATCGACCGTCGCAGTGTCACCGGTGTCGACAGTCAACCATACTGTATCTGTGCCGACAGCCGGCCAAACGCCATGAAGCAGCGGAACGCTTTCCCTCCCAACTTCATCCACTCGCTGGACTCGTCACACATGATGCTGACCTCGCTGCACTGCCAGCATGCTGACATCACCTTCGTGTCCGTCCACGACTGCTACTGGACCCACGCCGCCTCCGTCGACGCCATGAACAAGGTGCCAGTCGAGAATGGCTGCGTTGGCTTAAATCAGCGCTCGGCTGTTGGTCGCAGAAATGGATTAAAATGCGAGCTTTCGGAATCATTCTCGTCTCATTAGTTGAACTGATAAATGTGAGCCATATAGCTGCTTGCGGATTTGTAGGCGACGTACAACGACATTATCTGTTACTTGGTTACACTGCTATTGAGATTCATCTGCAGTAAGCAGGTATTGTATTGCTGTTTTCAGTTCCGCGGTAACCGGTACTTTTTCTTTGCATGTTGGGCTTGCAGCGGAGCCAAAGATGGAGGTCGAGAAAACTTAAATCAGAAGAGTAAGAGGCCCTTTCAACTTCAGTTTTTAGATCAATGAGACGCTTCCGGAAGTGGGCTGACAACCGCTGTTTTACAACTCACGCTGTGTGGTACTGCTCCATCCTGTGGGAACCGTTCTTCCGTCTCGTGTCATTCAGTATTCTTCCCAGTGGGGTCCAAAACTTTTTAAGGGCGCATAAAATGTCTCGCGTGGTATTGTTCTCTATTGTTAGTCACACTTCAGGAACGTCCGATAATGCCTGACTTTCCCCGGGCAATACATGCAGTCACTGGATTAGAATGCAACGGTTTCTCGACGACGTATGAGGCCGTTTGCTTCCCCAGACAATGATGTTCTTGCTGTTGACGCATCCGCTGAGGTGAAAGTGGACTTGCCTGAGAACCAGACGTGGTTTAAGAACTCTGGGGTCCTCTGATATCTTCCGTAAAGAACAGTTTCATATGGTGGCACGCTTCTTGTTAATCTCTACAAGTGGTTTGTATAATTATATGTGGTGCGAGTGTAACTTCACATCCGTAAAAAAGCAGTGGTGATAATATTGCGGATACGAGTTCGCGGTTTTCTTCTTAACGTGTTGAATTTTCCACGTATTTACGTCACGTGGAGTTAATTATTCGATAGTTCTGGGATGCTCTTACTTTTGGGACACTGGATGGCGCGCGTGTGCGATGTGTGAGTGTCATCCTCCAGCTGCGCTCCATTCGGTCTGTAGACCCGTCCGTTCCTATCAGCAGCGGAAAAGATGACGCTGCGCAAAGTCTCTACTATATCCATCCTGTTCCGTCCGGTGCTGTCCCGTCCCGTGCTGTTCCGTCCCGCTCCGTTCCGTAATGTGCCGTTCCGTTACGTGCCGTGCCGTGCCGTGCCGTGCCGTGCCGTGCCGTGCCGTGCCGTGCCGTGCCGTGCCGTGCCGTGCCGTGCCGTGCCGTGCCCTGCCGCGCCGTTCCATGCCATGTCATGCCGTGCCGTACCGTGCCGTGCCGTGCCGTGCCGTGCCGTGCCGTGCCGTGCCCTGCCGCGCCGTTCCATGCCATGTCATGCCGTGCCGTGGCGACCTTTCCTGTCCCATGTCGTCCCGTCCCGTCGTGACCTCATCTAACCTAACTTGACCTAACCTAAGGAACTTCTGCACCATGGCCCAGAAACTGTCCCTCTGTCCGTCCTTCTTTGTTCTCTTCCTTACTTTCTTTCCTCCTTTCTTAATTCCTTTCTTGCTGGCACTCTTGAACAATAACGTCAAAGATAAAAGAACCAACCTAAAACACGCCCTCCTTTTGCCGTGCCTGCCTGAGTGATTGGCGTCTGCCACTGTTTGGCGTGGGTGACAGATGTAACCCTGTGACTTGTCCGGACAGCTGGCGCGACCTCGTGACTCGTCCGGACAGCTGGCGTGACCTGTGACTCGCCGTTCCTGCCATATGACCCTGTAACTCGTCCGGCCAGCTGGTGTGACCCTGTGACTCGATCCGCTAGCTGGCGTGACCTGTGATTTATCCGGCCAGCTGGTGTGACCTTGCGACTCGTCCGGCCAGCTGGCGTGACCTTGTGACTCGTCCAGCCAGCTATCGTGACCTGTGCCTGTCCGGCCAGCTGGCGTGACCCGTGACTCTTCCGGCCAGCTGGCGTGACCTGTGACTCTTCCGGCCAGCTGGCGTGACCTGTGCCTCGCTCGGGCCCGCAGGTGTGCCGGGAGCAGTTTGTGGCGCTGCACAGCCGGCCGCTTCTGCAGGAGCTGGCCGAGGGCCTGCTGGGCCGGTTCGGCTACCCGTCGGATGGCCGGCTGCCGGAGCCGGCCTCGCACAGCCGCCTCAACAGCGTACTGGCGGCCGTGCCCGAGCAGGGCGACTTCGACCTGCGCCGAGTGCTCGAGTCGGTCTACTTCTTCAGCTGAGCCGCGTCGGCCGCGTCGCCGGCCGCCGTGCACCTCGGCTGAGCCTTGACGCTTGTCGCGCTGCCCGCGACTGGGCTGTGCCTGTAGTCATGGTTGTGTGTGAGCTGAGAGTCATGGTGGGAGCTGTCCGAGCGTGTTGGGCGTGGTCCGTTGATCCGGCATGTTGCTGCATAATCCACTGTGTTCACTGGTGACGAGACGCCGCGTTGTGTCGTGGAACAACTTAGCTGTGTCGGCAGCTGCGTGAGCATTTACAGATTGGTGGAGCTGAGACGCGGTGCTAGTTCGAAATCGGACGTCTTATTTGAGGCAATCGGGGAACCTGTCATGGTAGGTCCTCGCAGGCATGATGGCTGAGCGATCAGCTCCCTCCGCTCAAACCTGGCAGGTCAGGCCTGGTAGGTGTCCGGCGTACTTGATATTGACCGCGTGTCCGGCGGTCTGAAGGGAAGCGACACATCTGTTCGCGCGCCGTCTCTGGATTGCCGGTGGCTGTGAGGGTCATAGCACCCAGGGGTCTGGGTGCAGCAGAGGTTCCAGCCCGCGTCACATGAAAGTCGAGGGCTCCAACGACTTGGCCGTTATGTCCCCTGGATGCCCAGCTGTGTCTGTGTCTGTTGCGAACGTGTCTGTTGCGATTGTAAACTGGAGTGCATTGGTTGCGTTTTACGTTTTGTAATTTGCCATGTGCGAGGCAGAACAAACATGCCAGTCCAGTAACAGCGTAGCGATCATGGATATGATGAGGTGCGGCGTGGTCTGCAGTCAAGATATGCGTTTCAGCTCGAGCACTTCGAGCTCTTTTTCTGGGCATCATCCCTGCCGAGGCGTGAGATGCTTTGGGGAGGGCGGGGGGGGGGGGGGGGGGGCATACGGATCGCAATGATTGGCCGTTGGAAGTATCGGACACGCCCCATGCACACGTGTGTGGTTGTTTCTAGTCATACAGGTACCTCCCGACCGGGGAGTCGCCATAGTGTCTTACACTTCGTAGACATTTCACTGTGAACGAACAGGCATGCATAATGTGGCAATACAAAGCTGTGAGACGTGGCTCGTGGTATGACCAAGCGACGTGCAGCCTGCCTTCAATTCCCGCCGCCAATTTCACCTAACTGGCTTGCCAACAGACAGGAGGCCGAGCATCTAGGTTCTGTAGCTTCCTTGGGCCGTTGGACAACCCAGCGGGAACGCTGTGCGCAACATTCTGCGAACAGCCACAGCGCCACACAGAGAATGGTCTGGGATTCCCACTGGCTTCACTCCGCGCGTCGATTACCCCCTCGAGACGCTGAGTCGTGCGATGCTCATGGTCCAGCGTCTGAATAATGAACACTGCGGCCCATGCTCGGGTTGCCCGTCATAGCCGGCGAAATAAACACGAAGTTGACTGCGCTCGTATTTACGAACGGTTTCTGCTCACTGCTGCGCGGAGAAATGGTGCCGTTGGCGCCAGAAGCCTTGCCACCAATGGCGTCACATTGACTCTGATCGCACCAATAGGAGAAGGACCGCAGGTAACATTTGTCAGCTGTTGACACTCACAGGTCACTCGGGCGCACTGTTTGTGCTACGTTGTTCCACTCAGGACATAGCACAGGCATCGTTTTGCTGTCGTTCCTGATCGCTTCGCCGCACGGAGAGCGGTTGCTGTTGGCATGGCCATAGCACCGTCTCCAACCACATAACATTGATGAGCAGCTCAATAATCCATAGTATGTCCTGATAGATTTCGGTTAGGCCGTGGCATCCCTCTGGGGATTTGGACTTTAATTCAGGGGGCCGTGGTGGTCGAAGATGCGTGACAAGCCCATACAGCCGAATCTCACACGTCAGTTATGGTTGCGCCGGAAGACACAGGACCCCAACCACGAAAGTAAAGGCCACGAAAGTACGCATTCACATCGACCCGGCGCAGCCGTCTGCTGTGGACTGTGTCCAGTGGCTAGTATTTGACACGGTTTTGGACATGCTAAGCGACCGCGTCAAAGGTGAGCCAAATAGCGTCAATTACTAGCCGTTGTGCACACCGGCCAAACGTCATACATCAAATCTCATTCTGATAAACTGGTGCGGGTTGTAGTGACTGGGATCGGGCGGCAGTGAAGTAACGATTTAAAATAAAACCGTCCAAGAGAGATGCAGCCCGGTAGGTAATCTACGGGACACGTTACCATGGCGACTGCGTGCTCTCGTCTGAGACGCGGATAGTGGGCAGGAACTCGGAACTCACTCAAACCTACGCTCAGTTCTGCCGTTGGCTGATCGATCGACTCCGACATGCTCTACTACCTCCAGGCCTCTGGCACGCCTCTTCCCCGGATTATCGTGGGTTGTATGTCCTGGATCCAATGGTATCAAGGGGACAAAGTATCTGATGAATCTCTTCCATCGTCATCTGATGAATCTCTTCCACCAGGTCTTTGACGCCAAATGTCGCAAATTTTTCGACTGGGCACGTACGGAACTTTATAGAGCCGTATTCGCAACGACGAAGCAACAAGCGTGCTCCGCACAAGCAACAGACCTGTTGCTGTTGCTACACTGGCAACACAGCTGTTGCTAGTTTAAAACAGCTGTCGGTCACGGTGGAGAGGGCCACGAGCGGTGACACCGCTCGGCGCACGCTCGGACCCGCCAGTCTGCACCACCTGTCGCTGATGACGCCGGTCGGCCGCGCCTCGCTCCGATCGATCCGCCGCACACGGTGCGCAGTTCTCCGTGCCGGGGCCGACGCATATCCCACGTAAACAACAGTGGGAGCTGGGAGGAAACGAAACTGTTGCCGGTGTCATTGCGTTGTTACAGGGTCGCACAGTGCGGCTGTGTGACTGTCCGGCTACACCAACAGGTGACAGTCGCAGAACTGGCAATATTCGCGACCTTTTCAAGGTCAAAGGCGAGGGAAAATCGTTACCTGGCAGCCCTGGGAAAGCGAGCCATTGGAAATGGCAGCTTTCGGAAATCAGCTATTGCAGACAAGGAAGCAGAAAACAGTCCCGGCATCAACCAGAAAATGGCAAGCGCGGTGGCGGAATATATATATATATATATATATATATATATATATAGTTTATATATTTATATCCCTGCGTGAGATCGGCAAAGAAACCCGTTGTTGTTCAGGGGTGTGTTGAGAGGCCCAATTTGCCAGAGAGCTGGTGGTGCTGCAGTTTAGAAGCATCTAATTCTCTAGGCGTAAACCGTCTTCACGACCGCATGGTTCACTGATCATCAGGCGAATCACCAACTCTAGGTCACCGCTCATTTTCAAAGTCTTACTTTGACAAGCCTTCTCCCAACCATCATTAAAGAGCATTCACATTGCGCATGCTTAGAAATACAAATTCATTAATTCTGAGCCAGTTATCAGATCTCTGCGAGTAGCAGTCCCAGTGGTCACAAGTACCGCAGGAGTGCAAAGACCGTCTGCAGAGTATACACGCGTTTTTTACCCGCACACTAATGACGGTAGTTCCGCCAACCACCGAGGTGCGGTGGACGTAGTGTCAGAACTGGCCGGTCGAAACGCGAACGTACAACACGCCAGGTGAGGGAGGTGGTTCGAACAATCAAGCAGTTCGCGTTACTGATATCCCGTCTCAATCATCCCGCAGGCCTGCTACTCCCGGTCTGGCATCAAGGGAGTGCAGTGCATTGCGGGAGTGCAGAGGTCGTCTGCAGTGCATACATATGCACGTTTTCCGCAGCCCACACACGTATAAACAGGGCCTTCCTGCCTGCGTCACTATGCGACCGGGTCCGAGACCGTTCCGGCCGGGCCAGGGTCGCAGCTGTCAGGGGCTCTGGCAGCCGCCAAGGTTGGCGAGGCACGGCCCGATCACGTGCGCCCCACACCGGTCAGCGACCCGGCCGGCCATCACCGGCAGCGCAGAACGGGGGCAGCCGCACCCTGGCAGCCTGTGCCGCTCGTACGTGATGGACTGCCGGTCAGGGGGCCCCTCAGCTGATGTGGGCGGCACACGTGTGCTGTCGGCGCTGGGCGGGGACGCGCCTCGGCGCGCCGGGGGAGGTGGAGGGGAGGGGAACATGTGTGGCGAGCACGAGTCCGCTCCCTCGACGACAGCGCCGGTGGGACTTTGGCCGGCCACCAGGCCGCCCCCCCCCCCCCTCCCCTCTTCCACGTAACGACAGCCCGGAGGGCCAGACCGCTGCAGCCACTGGCCAGTTTGCCAGAACACAACCATAGCACAGCGGCTCTTTATTCGTGCGTCATGAGCACATGGACTTGCAACGACTTGGCGTCAACCAGACGTGAGCCACTCCTTAATGACCCACAAAAAACCGACATGTTTCCAGCCCATATGCTGATCTGGTGTGGTTAAACTTGGTTGCACCGGTGTTTCTTGAAGAAGCGGGCCACTGGACCGGCAACCGGCCTGTGTCCACGGACCAGGCGAAAGATGCTCGTCACCGGCCGCGGGCGTGATGTGCAGCTACGAACACCTGGCATCGGACGTGTCCCCATCTGACGGCCAACACCTGCTGATGAGATGACACAATGCCCTGGGCGGGTCCGCGCTCGCATGAACTTTCCCACTGCTACTGAATGCCACAGTTCATGACATTTTCCACCGGTGACGGCAGCGGAGCGAGACGGTGCGGCGGCGTCCGCAGCGAAGTTTGCGATCGGTTCACGAGATGATCGATAGTACACAAGCGCCCCCCAGCACGCTTTGTCCACACCGCCCGCCCGCGGCACGCCGCCAGCCAGTGCGAGCCAGCGAAAAAGCCGGCACGGCCGTCGACCACCACTGACCGCTGCAATGCGTCATTTGGACAGCGCTGCAGCTCACGGTAGGCGTCTTGAAACAGTTTTCGAATATGCCAATTATGACAGAGACGCACGCGATAAAAACACACATGAAAAACTACCTACGTGTCACTCGATGTAATGCTTACACATCTTAATCTACAGCAAACTGGCGAGCGTCCAGTGATGGCCAGGGGACCGCGCTCGCACTCCAGCTTTCAACGCCGGATATTAGCGCACGCAACGTGTAACAATCGGGAAAACCACACGAAGCAGCATATTACCGTTGCCCGATCGACACAAGTCGGACACACGCCTATGGTCTTCAGACGAAGTATTAGCAATTAGTCCCAGGGGCCAACTCGCAATCAAACGTCTAAGCTTACACTTCCCTCACGCTCTAAAATCTGCCCTACAGCTGTGTACATCTGATAAAGGCCATGGCGCCACCAAGACGGGATGCGCTTTACCGGGTTGGGCGCACCCATTACCCTGCAATAACCGAGCTGGCCGTGCAAAAAGCCGCAGCGTCCTCTGAACCAATAGCTCTTGCCAGCAGTTCGCGATCTGGGCTGTAATAATTATGCAAGTTAAGGCTTCCAGATGGCGGGGACGATGCTTTCAAAAGCGGCGGATTTCACAGCCGTGCTTTCAAATATGACAGTATTTGACGTCCCGACACGTGGCGTCCCCGGCGGGCCAGTAGAACGAAACGATGTAAGAATGGCGCCGCTTCTTCCGCCCTGATTTCTTGGGCAAAACTGTTACATTCTGAATCAGTTATGGACTCGTTCCATAAAATAATTTGGACAACTTGTTAAATACCCAATCTGCTCATCTTCCGGAACTTCCTGGGTATGAAGGGGTGGTTGACCCCAGGATGGAGCAGCGCAGCGTGATGGGTCACAGCGTCAACTTCTGATGCTCTGCGTAGCTCTTGGCCCGTTCTCGTCCCCACCTGACTACCGGCCCGGCAGAAACACCCACGACACTGCCTTCTCGCACGCGACAGACCGTTCACTGTCATCCGAACATGAACAGCGGCCCGTGACAGGTACACGGAG